TGGTAATCAAAGCTTACTTATGTTGTTTTACTGTAAATATTTAAACACTTATAAATATGCACAATCAGAGATTGGAACTTTTTGTTGACCTTGTTTTGAGATGGGTCTTTGTTTTTGTACTTTGTAATTTATTTTTTTGTAGCACTCCATGTTGTACGCCATGTTGAGTATGTTCAGAAGAATATAAAGCCATATAAATAATAAATATTTGATATACTGTATATTTTTTACATTCGTAATTCATTTTACACATAATTTTACATTATTTTTGGGAGTAAACTAATTTAAGCAACAAAAAAACTGAGGAGCCATTTGGGAGCCGAAAGAGCCGGCTCTTTTTAGTGAGCCGAGCCAAAAGAACCGGCTCTCTAAAAAGAGCCGGAATTCCCATCACTAGTGTCTCTTGTTTGCCGTAGGAAGGGCAACGACGGAAGCTGCGCATGCGTCAGAAGTCAACAACAATGGCGTCCTCCATTGCTGCGCACAGGTTACATATGAGTGGAAAGAGCAACCTCGTGAAATATCTCCGAAAGGTGGACAGTTTTTTTCACAGAGGTGTCGGAACTACAGCTGTTCCAGCCCATGCCGACATACCAACAAAGGACGAAACCAGTCAGTAAAGCTAAAGTTTCTTCAAGCAGATAAGCCAGCCTTCCTCAAAGGTTGAGTTTGATAGAACGGTGTTCGAATTATTTTAGCGTCCCCGCGGTAACCCCAGCGGTTAAATGTCACTTTTTCAAAAGCAATCGAATGCGCAAAGTTGTGTGAATGCATTTGTAACCATATACGGCGTCTCGTGAAAGATCCATCCATCCATCACTTTTCCATCAGCTGCCTTCGGGGTACACCCTGAACCGGTTGACAGCCAATCGTAGGGCACACATAAAAGAACCACCCGCGCTCACAGGGACAATTTACAGTGTTCCATTAACCTGCCGCACATGTTTTTGGAATGTGGGAGGAAACCGGAGTACCCGGAGAAAACCCACGCAGGTACGAGGCAAACATGCAAAACTCCACACAGGAGCTGGAATCGAACCCTGCACCTCTGCACTGTGAGGCAGACATGCTAACCAGTCGACCACTGGGCCTGTGAATATACGCCTATCAACGCCTTTTCAAACAGCAAAAACTAGCAAAAGTCCTCAATTGTTTACAAGAATAGAGAGTCTAAATCTAGTAGCAAACATGGGAATGCATTTTGGTGCAAAGTCGTTGGTGAATTGTTCCTTCTGTTCTTAGCAGGTGAAAAGGATGGACGTCTGTCTTTTTACGCTGTCCAAGTCCAAAGACAAGAGCAGGCAGAAAGATCCGTTCTCATCAACTGCCCACACAAAACCAGCGAGAAAAAGATCCTCAAATTTTTATCATCGCATGGTGATATTAACAAGTGCTTCACTTATGAAAGCTATGTAAGTAAACTCCTCAATGCTATGAAAATACAGTATGCTCTACTAACTGATGTCCAAGATTGATTGTTGTGTGATTCTTTCCCAGGGCATGCATGCAGTGGTTGAGTTTGCTTCACAAGACAGCGTGTCGTCGTTACTCGATGGGGCCGGCATCCCCAGCAACAACCATGAATCTATGGTTCCTTATAAATCAAGACTAATGACACTGCGAGGTCTAACGGAAGTAACCAACCAGCAGTCCAGTAAACTGAGCCACCCCCAAACCACCATTCCCATTAATGAGTTGATTCAGAGACTTTCTCAAGAGGAGAGTGTTAGTACTTGTCCATTTGTGTGATTACGTTTGTAATATCTGTAACTTTAATTTAAAAAAAAAAGTTTACGATGGTACATCTCTTCTTTTCCCCTCAGATAGACCAACAAATAATCTCCTTGACAGAAGCTTACCAGCTAACTGAGGAAAACAGCCGACTGCGTTTCCTCGTCTGCTCTCTGCTCAAAGACATTGCCGCTGCTTATTTTCCAGAATGCTCCATTAAACCATTTGGATCTTCAGTGAATGGCTTTGGAAAGCTGGGCTGTGATTTGGACATGTTTCTGGACCTGGACGGCATCAGTGGAAGGAATTTAAAGATGGTGAAGACAAATAGGGCAATGATCACAATGCACTCATCATAATCATGAATAGCACCTGAATTTTATTGGTTGAATGATTTCTTATATCAGCTACAAAAATACCAAGTGACGTATCGATGTCCGCTTGAATGGAATGTAAGCTTTCGGTTAAAAAAACAAACAAACGGAAAAAAAAACATTATTTTGTAAACTTGCTCATCACATATCATATAATTGCAGATAAAGTTGGTCTTGATCAGCGGTTAAAAGTGTCATTTTTATTTAGTTCTTGAAATATTTTATGAAAGAATGGAATGCAAATACTGTCAATAAGTCAATGTAACCATTAGAGACGGTTTTGATAGAATCAGCATGTTTCAAAAATGTCAGCTATGGGAAGTTGAGCTGCATCCGTGTAGACCAGGGTACCCATGGCAACTCCTTCAGGTAGCATTATTCTAATTTAAAGATGGTGAAGACAAATAGGGCAATGATCATAATGCATTCATCATAATCACGAATAGCACCTGAATTTTATTGGTTGAATGATTTTTATATCACATATCATATAATTGCAGATAAAGTTGGTCTTTATCAGCGGTTAAAAGTGTCATTTTTATTTAGTTGATGAAAAATATTTTATGAAAGAACAGAATGCAAATACTGTCAATAAGTCTGTAACCAGTAGAGACGCTTTTGATAGTTTCAGCATGTTTCAAAAATGTCAGCTATGGGAAGTTGATCTGCATCTGTCTAGACCAGGGTACCCATGGCAACCCCTTCAGGTAGCATTATTCTAAATATACAGGAGTAGAAACAGGAGTTCAGAACATTCAAAGAGTTTTTTATGTTTTTTTTTTTTTTAATCTGTTAAAAATAATTTTGCAAAATCTTTTTCAATGTGTAGCCAAAATCTGGTTTGACCTTGGAGTACCAGATGAAGCGGGCCACTTCAGAGCGTGGTGTCACACAGAGCATCCTGACTGTCATTGGTGAATGTGTGGACCAATTTGGGCCTGGCTGCGTTGGTGTGCAGAAGATCCTGAACGCCCGATGCCCCCTCGTCCGTTTTGCCCACCAGCCGTCTGGTTTTCAGTGTGACCTCACAGCCAACAACAGGTCTTCCCCCACTCCCTCTTCCGTACATTTTCAGAGGCAGCTTTCACATTTGTACTTCAGGCCTCAAAATGTCAAAGCGCATTCTTTCTTGTGATCTTCTAACCGCAACTGGTGTAGTAAAACTCCTGAAAACAGCAGATAGGCGGTGGGGATTCAGTCTAGTGATTGCGTAACTGAAACTACGCTTGTGTTTTTATTTCCGTTTACGCTTCAGAATTTTGACATCCTGTTCTTAACATGACACGTTTAGTACCCACACAACCAACCAGCTAGCTAATAGAGAAACCACTCTGGAAATATTTGCAGGGTGCCTGTTGTGGGTGGATTCATGTTTTTTTGCGGGGGTAGGGTGGGGGGGACTTTTCTCAATTCTTGCTTCGATATCTTTTGGCCATTACAACTTCCTGTCTGTGCTGTGGTGGCGATGCTTGTGCAAGTGAATGTGTCAACAAGAAGAAAAGAGTGGCAGTCACTAAAATGGTTGGTGAAAATTGTAAACACAGTATCCATACACAACAAAAATAAGAGTAATTAGAGGAAAGTTGATAAAATTCTCGTAATATTTACATTCGTACATTCAATGGGATATCATTCTTTAAATGAAAATATACCACCTATGGTCACTTTATGGTCCAGTCAATCCAATTATAGTCATACCCCGGCCAATTTTGGGGGCGTAAAAATGATTTTTTGTTTTTGATTGGTTAAAGACCCCCCCCCCT